TTCTCCGAGACAGCAGCCAGTGCTCCTGACTGCCGAGCCGTCTATCTCTCCAGCCCTGCCTCGGTGACGTTTTGTTTTGCTTTTTAGTTGTACATGGTCAAAGCGTTTTTGAAAACTTCTGAGCCAATGAGCAAAACATATTTATTTTTAAATTTTTCTGTTTCTTTCTTTAGCCTTAGCTATGTAGGGTATATTTCGTGCCTTCCTGTTTTATACTGGGGTAGTAAGTAACCGCTAGCTGCGACACCAACGGAACTCCCTCCTGTTGGAGGTTGGTCTGATGCTAATTACTGGCCCTCAAGATTTGGCTACTGCCTGGATACACTTACCTTTATTGTGTAAACCTGCCTAAGACATTTTTCCTAATTGGTTGATTAAAAGGCCTAAAACCTGCGCAGGACAGAGTGGGGTAGGTGTGGCTAAGGTTCCTGGGCTTTGGGACGAGGAGACTCATGGGAAACAGAAAGGTGGACAAGAAGAGAGGAGGAAGGAGGATGCCAGAATGGGTTAGCATGAAAAAGGAACCATGTGGATTGGGAGGAAAGACTCTAATAATGACTCTAATAATGACGCCCAGATGAAGAATACTAGCAAGTATTTATAAGATTACGGATGGAAGGTAGTCCAAATAAGGATGGTTAAGGAGGATGATGGCATTGGGTGGGAGCTGGGAGGTGGATGGTGAGGATATTGAGACAGTGTAGGTGAAATATCTGCCCAGCCAAGGTAAATAAGACAATTATAAGATCTAATAGGTGCCTGGTCTTTATTTGATTGTGATAGTGGTTTAGTAATACCGCCACAATAATCATAGGGCAAAGAACAATAGACATTATATAAACAACATCATTCTATAAACACCTCTCTTTCTATCAAGACTGTACTTGAGCCAGCATTGGTGACTGAATTACGTAATGAGTGCTTTGGCTTTTTGTTTGCCTTCTAAATTTGTGTTTGTTGTTTTCTTAGACAAGCTTTCCTAGAACCCAAAGTCCTCCTCTTCAGCATCCAAGCTGGGGTTCCAAGCATGCACTAGGGCGCCCAGCTGTCATTGGCCATTTCAAAAGTAAACAAGGTAGAAGCAAATACAGAAAAGAGGCAGTCAGCAGTGCTGAGTCATCTGAGGTTCACCCTCTCCATCACCCCACCCCTGGGCTTCCCTCCCGACCCCAGGGCACTTCACTTTGGATGGGTGCTATTATCTGATAAAGTTGCAATCACCATATTTGCACAGTCCCATAGTTAGTTATGTTGTTAATTTGAGGGGTACCCAATATGGGGGTAAATCCAAGGTTTGTATGTGCTACGTCGGTGCCTTACCACTTAGGCATACGCTTAGCCCTCTAAAGAAGGTGGCTTTGCGCACGTGTGCCAAGCAATTATTTTGATAAATTGTTCGTCAAGCAACTCCCTCTTATAAAATCTTACCTTTTGCTATGCCCATCCAGCACTTGTTCAGAAATCAAAGCAGGGAGAGGGCCGTCTACACCTCCGTACACGTTATGAGAATTTATTAAAATAATTCAAAAATATCTAAGGGGGGAACAAGGAATGGATTTAAAATAGGTATGTGCAGTTTGGGACTTCCAAGTTCTCCCATTTCCATTGTTACCAATCGCACAAGCTTATTGAGCGTAATAAGTAGTCTGTGTCCTTCTCCCAGCCAACCCCAAGCATAGAAACCTTTGTTTTAATCCATGACACACCACCACACGCTGATGTGACAGTACCGGGCACACAGTACACATACATGTTTGGTGGCTTTCTGTTGAATGGCTGATGTCTCAAACAAGCACCCCCACATGCCTTCGTTACCCTGACATGAAAGCATACTGCCAAACCTTACCCAGGCCCCTCGGGCTGGTCCAGCTGTGTGTTTATCTCCTGTTGCCTGCACAGGAAGTTTGTGGCAGGTTCTTCCCACTTCCTGTACTGTCCCCGGTCCAACTTCCCTGTTCTAGGCTGCTTCAGGTTTAGTCATTTTGCAGCACCTTAAGCCTTCTCCCAAATTGCCTTATGACACTTTTTTTTAAATGCAGGACTGACCGGCTTTTATCTTTTTTTTTAATGTTCTTAGCTTATTTTGACAAATATAACTTAATTGTGAGTCTGCATGATATTCTATAATATACTACATTTAAATCTCTCTAATGTCAGACCTACATATATTTTTGCATTTATTTCATTATTACAAAATATGCCTTTCCCATTCCTGAAATTCCTTAGAGTTAGCTTGTTGGCTTTATTGGGAGCAAAAGCTACAAAAGTTTAAGATTCTTAATAAACTTTTTCAAATTTATTTTCAGAAAGTTTCATTATGAATTCACTTTTTACACCTTTTTCAACTTAAAAAATTATTTCATTTACCTGTATTTGACTGATTCTCTCTAAAGATTCATTACTAATAACTTTTTTTTTTTTTTTTACAAATTATCTGTTAATGATTTTTCTTATTGTTCTACTAGGGTACTCGTTTTCTGCATTATTTTGTCTATGTCACTGACAAATGTCACACAGTAACTCGTGTGACAAACTTTCCAGTTTGGCAGTTGTGGTTCCATGAGTCTCCTGTCCCCTGTCCTCTGCTGGGCTGCTGGTGGCTGCCCCACATCTGCCTCTGCCTTTAATCTCAGATGGATTCCCTGGTTTGGAAACCCTGTATCATCTCTCATGAAAGTTAGTTTTTAGAGACTGGCAAATGTCGTGTTACGATGATTTAAAAAAAAAAAATGTCCTATCTACCCAGGTAATCGTTGTACTTTTGGAGTTTTAAATATTTTTATTAATTCTTTGAGAATTTCATTGAGTATATTTTGGTCATAGTCACCCCCTCCTCTCAGATGCACCTTCTTCTCCCTCCCCTCTCCTATCTTTTTTTGTGGCCTGTTTGGGGTGTGGTTGACCTACCAGGGGCCACACCCTTTAAAAAAAAAATACAACCCTACCATCAGCTGTCAGAGCCCAACACATCTCCAGCAGGTGCTAAGACTTTGCGCCCTCCAGCCCCACCAGCTCCATGCTGAGATTGTGTTTCTGAGCAGCTGTGATTAAAAGCCTGAACCCCTGGACCTGCCTGACCTAAACAATACTTTGAAAGCATTTCCCTTCAAGCATTATAAAGCTCTTAAAATACAAAATGAAATCTGAAAAAAGTCGAGCAGACCAGAGGTAGTCGAGGGACTTGAATGTTGGTGGCTTCATTTTTAGTACATTGAGAACACTCACCCCCACCATGCCACCTCGCCATGGTAAACTCCCCTTCCTCCACCACCATGGCCATCGCCACCCGAGCTATCAGGAGCTTGGTAGCCTCTACTCTAATGGCTCTCCAATCCCCATCTTAAAACACATATCTCCTTCCCTATGATCTATTCCTTCTCTGTCTCCCATTCCAGGGACACCTCCAGGAAGACTCACTGATACAGCTCATTATTTTATTCTTTGCACAAGGCAGGCAGCATCCTCATGTACTGTAGGTTCTACATCTGCTTCTGTTGCTCTGTCATCAGCTCCGAAATCAGCATGACTTGGAGTTGGATCCCAGCGCTGAGAATCAGCAATGTTATTCTCAGTTGCACACACACACACACACACAAACACAAGCCTCTCATACATACAAAGTAACCACCACAAAAACCCAAACTTGAATCATGGGCAACAGCACTGTGTCCATCCACGGGCTCACTCCTCGTTCCATCCTCAAAGGTATCACTCTCACCTGTAGCCCCATAGCCATCACAACCTCCATGCTCCATGGCAGCTCCTCCTCTTGCTGTTGGTCTGTGATATATATGGTCCCAGAGGCTGGCTCAGCAATGTTATAAGTGAATCACAAAATCCTCCTACATCTCTATCCAGCTTTAAATAATTGGACTCTTCCTTCTGATGAAACCAGGAGTCCCAATGTCCCATCTTTAGCATCAAATTGAGCATTGCCTTTGAGGTGTAACGTGACGCCAATACTGTTGATTTAAATGGTTCTTAGTGACAGTAACTCCGACTTTGTGTTCGTTCTCGGGATACGGCTTGAGAAGGAAAAGCCCTCTACCTCCTGCAGGCTGCACAGCTGCTCTTCCAACCATGTCTAAGTGAGGGACTGTGGAGGAAGCTGCACAAGGAGCCACTGTCAGCCTCCGCTCACTCCCTAACAAACTCCCCTCTGTCTTAGTTCCTGCTAACCTGTCAGCTAGGTTTTCCATTGCTTTGCTTCTCTGACTCTCCCAGATATCAATCTCCCTGGCTTTCCTTTTCTTTTTCTGGGTAGGGATGCTTCCACTTCTGTCAGCCCTGTGTTGTTTTTGTTTTTTGTTTGTTTGTTTGTTTGTTTGTGGCAAGCCTCATGGTATATAACCCAGGCTGGCTGACCTTGGGATCCCCCTGTCTCAGGCTCCTGAATGCTGGCATTACAGGTTGGACTGCCAAGTTAGGCAATTCAGCTCCCTTCTGTCTATTCCAACTTCCTGTGCTCAGTTCATCAGAATGCTTCTATTTCATGAATGAAATACTTCCCAACTCTAGAATAAAAAAACAAGGACAAGACGGTTAGGCTAAATTGGTGCAATGTTGTCTTTTGTCCAAATACTGTCATGTCTGTTGGGAATCCAGAGGAAAGCAAAATGAATTGTATTCTTGGGTCCTGCGCTGTTCTCAGCAAGGCAATAACAGATAAACAGCTGCATCAGCCGCACACAAACAATGATCCATAGCAAATATCATTAGCTAAAGTCAATGAAAAAAAGTGGCCTAAAACCTTACCAGATGCAGGGTGTTCTGTGTTGAGTATTAGAACCCAGAAAAAGCATTCACTCTCCCTCTTTTATGTGTCTATACTATCAAGTCTTAAAATGGTGCTGCTAACTAGGGCCTTAAAACTAGAGTCCTGTGGTTTATTAAAACAAACCAACAACAAACGAACAAAACACTGTTTTTAAAGGCTTTTAATCAGGAACTCCAAGAACACTTTCCAAAAAAAAAGGCTGTATTTGCGCACTCTTCTTGTATCTTCAAGCATCCCTCACCATACTGTATTTTAAGAGAGCAGCAACAGTATGCTGTGTTCAAATCCCACCTCTTACACTACCTCAGGAGGTAATTTATAGCTCTCAAAAGTTGTATCCTAATCTGTAAAACAGTGACAGCAGTGCCATCTGGCATATAGGGTTCACGAGGATTGAACAAAATGATGATGGGAAATTGTCTGTGACAATCCCTGGCAACAACACGTATCCAATAAACATTAGCAACTGTCACCAGCAAGCAGTAATGCCACTCCTCCCTGAATCACTCGAGCTAGAATACTTTTTTAGGTTAAAAAAAAATCCCTTCAACACAAGTAGAAAAAGTACCAAACTTCCCTGAAGAACAACATTGCTTAATGAATAAAGGTGCTCAACTATCTTATTTACACAAAAGACCCTGGTGTTAAAAAAATAACAGCCACAGGATACGGTGGCACACGCGTGTAATCCCAGCACTCGGAAGGCAGAGGCCTGAGAATGTCTGAATTCAAGACTAGCCTGGTCTACAGAGCGAGTTCTAGGACATCCAGAGCTACGTGGACAAACCCTTTCTGGAAAAACTAAAACAAACAAAATATCATCCTAATGATTTCTACTGGAGTAAACAGTCTTTCTAAAAGGCATTCTCCGCATTCTGTATAATATTTTAACAATGATATATTTTTCTTTATTATTCCAAAGGAAACAGTTGGGTGTTTTTATGGGGAAACAGATCCAATTTAGAAGGCATGCTTTTTCAGAAAGGCATGGAATCAGTGTAAACAGTCTCATAGTTCATCCCCACAACACAGCCCTGCAGGCACCCATCTGTCCTTAACTCCCCAAAGAGATCTGAGTTATGAAGCTTAAGGAAAAAAAAGTTTGTTAACAACAACAACAAAACATTCTTATTAATTTGGCAGTCTTCATAGGATTTTGTACACAATTCAGTGTATTTTTCTTATTTGGTGTACCCCCAATTTTTGGTTCAGATGGTAATGGCCTTTTGTAGAATTGGTAGAATCCACTTTTGTAGATTTGTAGAATCCATTTGTCAGATGGCTGCCCTGAAACAGGAAATTAGTTTAGCCCCATTTAAATACAAAATAGATCATTTTCTATTGTGTTACAAGAATGCATTAGCTTAATCTCTTTATAGAGCTATATATTTTTTGGACGTGGGAACATTACTAGAGAGAAGCTGCTCAGAGCTGTTCCACACCTGTTAGGTAAAGGATGCTGTTAGCAGGGGCCACACACAGAATGTGTTCTCAGACCTCTGGAGCACTCCTGTCCTCACTCGGGAGAGAAACACTGGGGCATTTCACTCCGTAAAAACAACAGAGGAAACGAGATTGTGGGATGTCAGAGAAGTCTCACCTCTCCTGCAGCTTCTTCTCTGGAAAACAACTGGAATACAAAGCTTTGTTCTGACACCAAAGGAAACAGGGCAGAAAGCTAATCCGACTCTTCCCACTGAAGCGCAAATTGGCCCAGTGTTTTCCTGTCAGCTTTCCTTCCACTTTCTTTGAAACCAAAGTCATCAGTCCATGTAAATTTCCCAAGCATCTGGTCATCGAGTAAGCAGAGCTGTGTGAGCAGAGCTGTGTGAGCAGAGATGTGTGGTTCTGCCTGTCTTCCCAGCAGGAGAGATGGTTGACTACACAGTGAGATAGATTGGAGACTCTCAGTAACCTAGAACTGCCCAAACGGAGCTTCAGCTTCTTACAACTACAGCAGCAAGTAGCACAGCCTGGTCCAGAAGGTGCCAGGGAGTCTCTGCCCTAGATTACACAACCACAACTCCCATTTTCTTTTTAGAATTTTTTATTTTGTAATTTAAAACATGATTACGTTGTTTTCCTCTTTCCCTTCCCCCTCCAAACGTTCCCATGTCCTGCCCCACCTCACTCCCTCTCAAGTTCATGGCTGCTGGTACATATATGTGGGTAACTATATAAACACAACCTGCCATGTGCATTTAGTGTTGCTTGTATGGCCAGTTGGTACTGGGTAACCAATGAAAAGGCTCATCCCTGGGGAAGGTTAATTCCCCCAGGGTCAGCAGTTCTTAGCTATCTGGAGTTTTGTCTAAGGCGTAGGGTCCCATAAAAAGTTTCTCCTCCACTATTTTTTTTTTAAATTCTGTGTCTACATATGTTTGTCTGTGTGGGGATATGTGCATACGGGTACAGGGGTCTTCACCTGCCAGAAGATGGTGTTGAGCTCCTGAGGGTGGTATTTCAGGCAGTTGTGAGCTGTCCCTTCCCAGTCCAAGATAAGTGCTGGGTCCAGGACACTGAGCCATCTCTCCAGTCCCACTAAGTTCCATTTTCACAAATATTTTCCGTAGTAACACAAGGAAAGCCACAAGGACAAATGGTAAAATGTAACGTTAGGCTTTGATTCACTTGCAAGTTGAAACGCTTTCCAGTGAGTGGCTGTCCATGTGCCTCGTTGTGTGGAGAACTTCGGGGTGTGAAAAGGAAGATTTCACCGCATAGATTCAAATCTCAGCACGGCTGCTCACACCACCTCAGACTCCCTGTACTTGTGTTTCCTCACTTGTAAACATGAGGATTGTCCTGGTTACTCTTGTAAAACTGTGACCAAAATATCCGACAGAAAGGATCTAAGGAAAGAAGTATTACTTTGGCTCAAAGTTGCAGAGCCTTCACTCCGTGGTCAGCAGCTCTGTTTCAGGTAGAATAGCATGGTGGCAGGGGTATGTGCCGAGAAATATCTTCAAGTAATAAAAGGCCAGAAATTAAGAGAGAGAGAGAGAGAGAGAGAGAGAGAGAGAACCAGATGAGCTATAACCCCAAGGACGCTCTCCACCACCCCAACGCCCTCTGCCAATGGCCTCCTTCCTCTGATTGGTCAGCCCTCTCCCTTCTGCCACCTCCCAATAATGCTCTCACATTACGCACTCAACAAGGGATCAATCCATTGATTAAGCCAGAGCTCCCATGGCCCAGTTGCCTCTGAAACATCATTACAGACATATTCAGAGGTGGGCTGCACTGATCCCCTAGCCGTTCCTTAATTCAATCAGGCTGACAATCAAAACCAATCATCTCAGAGATAATAATAACAATATCGGCTCACATTATTACTGTCTCCGACTATCAGAGTCCATCCAGCACTGATAATATTAAATAGTGTATGTACTACTTTTAAAAAAGAACGGGGGCAGTCAAATCTAGCACTGAGAATATTAAATAGTATACTACTTTTAAAAAAGAACGGGGCAGTTGAATCTTCAACTTCGGAGCCTTGGGCATAGTCCACATTCAAAGTCCCTTCACTTGCATGGGACGGGAGAGTGTCTCAGTGGTAGAAGGCTTGCACAGCCCTGGGGTCCATCCTCACGCATCTCCTCAGCAGAGAAGCTGGTAGAGGGACTAGTCCATAAAAAATATGGCTAGAAGAATCTTTTTTCTTTTTTCTTCTACTCCAAATGCCTTGATGAGTTTTCTATATAGCTAGAACCTTGAAAAGACAAGATCTGTGAAAAACAGAAAACTCAGTGGGAAAGCCCAACTTTCTGGCCCTCTCTGCTGAGGCATTTGCAAATTCCTAAGCACAGTGGGGATGCGGGGGGGGGGGGGGGAAACTGAGAGGCTGGGCAGAAAATGGTTGTTCGCAAGAAAGAGAATCAGGCTTGGGGAGACTCAATGAAGAGAAAAAAAAGTTGAAATTCAGAGTCACCGAGTTAACCAGGACTTCAGACAAAATCCTGAAGGGAGAGTGTAAAATGGAGATGCCTGTGGAGAAAGAGCTGCTCTTTGCTCCTCTGTAAGCAGAGCAGGGGAGGTGTTAGCCAAGAGCAAAGAGTAGCTGAGAAATTATGCAAAGGTAATCATGGTCCTGTGGAGATGAGCAAATAAACACTGGGCTTCAGCGCCCACCAGATCGGAGAGGCCTCAGGAAGCACCTACTTCCGGCAGGAACTCTCCGGAGCCGCACTCTAGAAATACGTACAAATAAGACTAGCTTTTAGAAATGGAGCCTCCAGCCAGCTTGATCCCTGGTGGATTCAGGGGCTTCTGGTTTTTGGTCTGACTGCTAACACCCCTGACCACAAACTGTTTTTTGTATGGAATATCTACCAGTCAATAGAAAATTGCCAGCAGTGGAGAGACAGGGTCAAGAGGGAAATGTATGTTAGGATCATACACATGTGATCCAGATGTTGGTATGATCAGACTCAGAATATAACAACTGTCAACGTGATAAGGAAAACAGATGACAAGACGGAGAAGCACATCCAGGAACTTAAGTCTCTATAATTTTAAAAGCCGAGTAGAATTTCTAATACCAAAAAGACAAACAAACAGTAACTGAATTTAACCTTCAATAAGTGAATCTGGCAATTGTTGAAGCATAAGTGAAGAAAGTGCTAGTGACCTAGAACTGCATTGGTAGAAAATAGATAGATGGGAACACCCAGAGCCCAGTTCCTGGAAAGTAGCAGGGAAATCCAAAAAGCATTGTTAAACAGATAGAACATTTTTAAAAGGTTGGCTTTGTGTGTGGTTAGAATTCTAGGAGGTTCTAGATTGAAACCTAAAATGAGACCAAGTTGAAAACAACAGGCATTATTTGAAGAGCTAATTAATAGCTAGGAACTTTCCACAGCTGATTACATCAGGCTACACATTCTGGGGAAGAAAGCTCAACCTGGAACTCTTCCCCAGTCAGTTTCTAGTGGATGTTTGCAAGGCCCTGATCTGATCTGTTCTCTCAATCAGGCTACTCCAGGCATTTCTGCCCGACCTTAGGAATCCCTGAGTTGATGATATATTTTTGTCCTCTCCCTGTTTCTACTGCCACTTGCTATTTACTTTTTTTGTTGACTTTTACTTGCTTTATAAATTCACTCACTCAAAACTGAAACTATGGCTGCTATCAATAATACTCGGAACAGCTGAAAAATAGTGACTTACTCAATATGAATGGCACACACAAAATTGCCTGTACTAAGCAAATGCTCTGACCCTGAGATATCTCACCAACCTTCTAGAAGAAGGAGGAGGAGGAGGAGGAGGAGGAGGAGGAGGAGGAGGAGGAGGAGAAGAAGAAGAAGAAGAAGAAGAAGAAGAAGAAGAAGAAGAAGAAGTAGTTGGACTGGAGAGATGGCTCAGAGATTAAGTGCACTGGCTGCTCTTCCAAAGGTCCTGAGTTCAATTCCCAGCAACCACACGGTAGCTCACAACCATCTATAATGAGATCTGGTGCCCCCTTCTGGTGTGCAGATGTACATGCAGGTAGAACACTGTATACATAATAAATAAATCTTCTTTAAAAAGTTTCTGGTTTTGAGACGGAATATCATTTACTTGCTGAGGGTGGCCTGTCACTCTGTAGCCGGGCAGGCCTTGAACTTTATGCCTCAGCCTCACAACTAACTGAAATTACAAGCCTGTAACACCAAATATTGTTAAATGATGGGTCTTGTTTTTTTGTTTCCAGCATTAAAATCTTTTATTTGTTTTTCTTTACTTCTAGCATTGACCTCCATCTCCAATACAATGCTAAATAGCATATATTAGTACTAGTAGGTATTTTCAAAATCTTAGAAAAGTAATATTACAGAAGAAAGCAAAAACACCAGGAAACGTTTGACAAAGTGGGCAGAGAATACATACCGCGGCGTGCTCACCTGTGAGTGAGACAACTGTATCACACAAGGCCTTCACGACAAGGCTCAGGGAGCATCGAGGAGGAGAGGGGAGACTGTAGAGGTCGGAGGTCTGGGAAGACTGAGAAGGAACGGTATCTTCCGGAACACTGTGTTCAGGAACTCACAGCAGCTGTGGTTCCTACACAGCACCTTCCCATGATCACTCCGGTCAAAATCCCAGCACGGAGCCAATGGGATCATGAGCCCCAACCCCTTGCTGAGGAGCTGTTGGCGTTAATGGCTTTTTCAAGGGGCACATTCATGCTTTTTCTCTTTTTTTTTAAGGATGTGGCCTCTGGTTAGTTGACTATGCTCCCATGGATGGCTCCACACTCCTGAGTGCACAAACAGCACAAATTGAACTCCGTGTGTTCTTTTTAAAAAAAAAATAATAATAATAACTTAGAACATGATAGTCAGAAGGAAGTGGAGGGTAGGTTGTGGGTCTACAAGTTAAGTGGAGGCTTGGGGAAGAATATGACCAACACAGATTATATGCATGTATCAATTTAAATATGAAAAGGTTGTACTAGAAAAGCATGGGCAGGAACTATATCTCAACAGCTACCCTGAACAGAGGCTCTGGGCTCATCTGGAGAGCAGGAATTGTGTTTTTGTAAGAAGCGCGCCTTCTAGGAAAGGAGTAATGAGCTCCATCTTAACCTTCTAGACACAAGCACCGCCGGACACCTGTCATTCACTTCACATAAACTATTGTGGCACCATCGATTCTGAAAATCAATTGTCCCTTGTCCCCAGTTACAGCCACTGAACCTTACAGATCAGAGCTTTCTTCTTGCTGGCCTTGTGATGCCCTTTTCAGCAGAGGCCAGCCCTGCTGGGTGCTCACAGCATGCCAGCTGGTTCTGACCTCCTCCCTGTATGAGTCTGGAGACAGCCAGACACATGGCTGGCTGCAAGCTGATGGCCAAGCGAGCCCTCCTCTCTGTGCATGCCCAGTGAGACTGTCTTGGGGTAGAAATGAGTGAAGTTCCAGGGAACCTGCTACCCCAAACCTCTAAATCACAACTTGTGATTGCAAGCTCTAAGTTCTTACTCCTCTACTACATGAACTGGAACAATTCCCATTCAGCCTGGAGAGCTACCAAGCTGTAGCCTGTTGCTCCACTGGGAATCCCTTCCGCTCACCTTTGCTCTCCATCTTGAATGGAGCCATGGTGTAGCCATGTCTTGCCATCTACTCCCTTGAATCTGAGTGGACCACTGGCATGAGGCTTCTACATTGCTGCTGAAGGGATCTTCCCATCATGCAAATCCAAGGCTCTTTCTTCGCTCAACTCTAGAAAGGCTAAGGATGCTGTCCAAAACCTCAGCAGTGGTCCTGCTACATCTACACCAGTATCACAACTTGCAGCACTCACTGGTCCGTCTCCTCTCTACCTCCCTACAGAGTTGATTCCCGTTTCCAGAACTAGTTCACAATCCATCCCACTAGCAGCCCTGTAAAGCCGCTTTGCAGACCCTGTAGGCTTGCAGGAGCCTTCGCTGCCTCCTAGCCTTCTGCAGAGCCACATGCACGGCCTTACGCTCTCTTGGCCTTTTCCCCAGAATGCTGTGCAGCCATCGCACTGAATCAGAACTGCCAGAACCGAGTTCTAAGAGTGATTTAGCCACACCGGTTTTGTCCCTTTTAAAAGCTTAAGGCAGACACCTTCGCAAAGCACATTTAGTCAGGCGTCCGCGGCGGAGAGGGCGCAGCCCCCTGTGGCTAGGGGGCAGTGGGGGAGACAGACCTGTCCCGGGCCAGGAGCAGCCGCTCGCGGCCGCTTTCCCTTTCGCTTTGATTGCGGTGGGCGGCGGGCCGGTCCCGGAACCTCCTCAGAAGAGCACTCCGAGAGTTAACCCGAAAGCTCCACCCGCCCCGGGGGCGACCGACCGACGCACGCGTCCTTGAGAAGCTCATGTAGAGACAGAGAGAGAAAGCAAGAGACAGTCCTGGGAAAGTCCTGCCGGGTCTCCAGGCAATTATAAAAATGTGTCCCCTGGGGTCAGTGTACGAATTGCCTCACCTCCAGCATTCAGCTGTCCTGTTCAGTGCCGGCCCAGCATGCGTCAGTCACGCCGTATGTAGCCCGGGACGAGGGTGACAGGGTCAGGGCAGGAGGCCCGTGGAAGGGCAGAAGCCCTGGACCCACTAAGGGAGGGGAAAGGGCGGACAGCAACTGCCCGCCAAGGGAAGGAGGATGGGAGGGACGGCCGTCTCTGCAGCAGCCCGGGTGCTACCACTGCGCCCATTTCACAGAGGAAAACTAAGGCCCAGCCAGTGTCCCCCCTCCCCAAAAGACCTGGGAGATCTTCTTCCATCTGTCAGCCCCGAGGAAGGAGTTGAAACACGGCCTCGGAAGAAATGGATGGCAAAGATGCCAAGAACGGCTGAAGAAAGAGAAGGCCAAGCCAGGCTGACAGGCTCGACCTACCCCTCCTGTCCCTTCCAGGCCTCTTCTTTTTGGTCACCCTTGTCCTAATCCACCTCAGTTTGGCCAGAGCCAAGCCAGTCTCCGGACCCGCCCGGTGTCTTAACAGCTCCCAAACCCTGCTCAGGACTACGGACAACGCGCTGAAGACGGTGAGTGTCCTTCTGAAATGACTTCTAACCCACCCGGTGGTATCTGCTAGGAAGCCGTATATAGTTCCTGGGTAGCTGGCAGGAGCGGTAGGGGAAACGGTTCAAACCTTAGGTTATATTTAATCTAAAGGAAACCGTCTAGGGGAGGGGGGAGGCTGGTAATAAATGGTAACGGCATCAGTCTGGACTGTGTCTACACACAGGCAAGTGGATACTTACAGTGTCCCTCCCGGCCTGGCTGCACATAGGACATGTGTCCGGTGCTCCCTGCTCTGCCTCACTGCAGGTGGAACAGGGAGAGAGAGAGAGACAGTCACCGTACAATCTCTGTGCTTCACAAGCCATAAAGGTGAATCTCTCTCTGCTCCCTAACGGCCAACACAGTGATGCAGTTCCTTGTTGGATAGGCACATCTCAGGGAGGACTGGGATATCAGAGGTCATGTCCAACCTTCCTTTTTCTGGGGCAGGTGTGATCCGGTTTTATAGTTCAATTCAATTCTCTCAGGTTTCATATTTGAATGCAACCTATCCTTTTCTGTGGTAAAATTACAGTGATTTCCTCCCACTTTTGCTACAAAGTTATGGTAAACACTGGTGTGTTCCCCATAGCCTGGAGCTGCCACTGTAACTCAGGGGTAGAGTTCTGGCTTATTTATGAATGAGGAGCTCTGGTCCATCCCCAGCAGGGGACAGGAACAGAGGAGTGAGGGAGAGAGGGGGAAGAGTGGGGAGACTCCTTCTCTCTACTGTGTTTTGAAATCTTTCTTGAGGAACTTCTAGCTTGCTGCCCATGACTATCCCAAGATGAGCTCCACTCCACAAAGCCTTCTTGGAGAATTCCTTCCTTTTCTTCTAATCGCACATGATGTGCTGCCGACCGTTCCTCAAGGCTCAGTGGTTAAGAGTGCTGGCTGCTCTTCTAGAGGCCCAGGGTTGGATTCCTGACACTCCCGTGGTGGCTCACAACCATCTGTACCTCTAGTCTTAGGGAATCTGTCATTTTTGTGGCCTCTGTGGGCACTATACACATGGTACACATGTATTCATGGAGGCAGAACACTCACATACATGAAACCTTAAAATTAAGGAAAAAATTTAAGGAAGGCTCCCTAAGGAGTACCTGCAGACAGGAGAGGCTGCCTTCCTGAGGTGAGGTTTGACATGGAGGCGATGCAGGATTTGAAAGTTAACTAGCTGCCCCTCCTTCCTCCACTCCCATCTTGTCTGAGTTTGGGTTACTTTTCCCTAGTTGGACTTGGAATCCAGGAGGACATATCACTGTCCCTTCCGTGTCACACCCCTAGTACTACAGCAGAATGTAAAAGTTATCTCCACCTTCCATCAGAGAGCTGTTGACTTCTTAATCTGTTGTGTAATTCTGCTCAGTGGTGCTTTCCAACACACCACGGGGTAAGAGACAGTCCCCGTGTATGTAAATTAAGCTCAACTAGTATTTAGGGCTTGCAAATTTGCTACAGCCACCAAGCTGTGACTTCAACAGTTCCCCTTTAGAAGTTGACACTTGAAAAAGATATTCATGTAGCACAGCTGCTTGGCAAAAGGAAAAAAAAACCAACACAACACATCAGGATTCACCAGAAGCAAGCATCACAGTGCCTTGCAGATTCTGATTAACACGGCCTGTGGCAAGGACCACAGTGTTCCCATGGTGGAAAAATGTTCTGCTGGCAAACAGCCTAAGCAGAGTGGGAGGGAAGGCAGGGAGAGAACGTAGGAGGCCTGACTCTTCTGAATTTCCTACAGGTCAAAGAGATGAAGGCTCAGAGTAGCCAACTCAGGCACTGCTGGTACCCGGGGGCGCCAGTCTCCGAGGGAGCCAGCTGTCTTGCTGAGACTATCACTTCAGCTTCTTTTTATGGTTTTCACAGGCCAGACAAAAGCTAACTAACTACTGTGGTGCTGAAGACTTCGATCGCGAAGACATCACAAAAGACAAAACCAGCACACTGAAGGCCTGTTTGCCACTGGAACTGGTCAAGGTATAGAGGACCTTTCCCCCGAACACATGCAGCACAAGAGCTGTGCAGCAAACCTCAGCTGTCTCCAAACATTTACATCTTTGGGAAGAAAAAAGTCACAACAATATGAATACTCCAGGAAGCTGAAGGATACACTTGATAACTATGAGCTGGGTGTGGTGGTTTACACCTTTAATTCCAGCACTCTGTTGACGTAGAGGCCAGGCTGGTCTACATAGTGAGCTCCAGGCTTCCAGGGCTACAGAATAAGATCTCATCTTTAAAAAGGGAGGGGAGGGCTGGTGAAGCTCAGGGAAGTTCTTTGTACACAAGCGTGAGACTTAAGTCCCCAGCACCTATGTAAAAGCTGGCTGTGATGGTTGGACATGTGGCCTCAGCACTAGGCTGGGCAGAGACAGGAGGATACCTAGGCCTTGTTGCCCAGCTGGTCCAGCCAAATCGACGACACAGGGAGAGACCCTGTGTCGGAAAACAGAAGGTCTGAAGAGGCGATTGAGAAAGATGCCAAAGCTCATCCTCTGGCTTTCACCTGCACACACACAAACACACAAAAGCAGCCATGATGGTGAAGCTTGCCAGGCTTTTTACTGTAATGAAAAGTTAGTTGAAGATAAACCATCAGAGAGATTTATGTTAAGAATTAATGGCTGGGTGGTGGTGGTGCAAGCCTTTATCCCAGCAGAAGCAGGCAAACCTCTTTGAGCTTGAGGCCAGCCCCATCTACAGAGAGAGTTTCAGGACAGCCAGGGCTCACAAAGAAACCCTATCTTGAAAAAAAAGGAACTAATATACTCATATGTTTTTCCTCTAGAATGAGAGTTGCCTGGCTGGAGAGACTTCTTCCATAATCGTAAGTAAGCAATACAGAGATGTCTTCCTCATGACAGATTCAGAATATTGATGTCTGGTCATTTTGTCTTCTAGAGAGGGAGTTGCCTGCTTCCCCAAAAGACTTCTTCCATGATGGTAAGACACACCACTTTTCTCAAATGCAGCAGGGGCATGGAGTTTTCAGCCCATCTCAGTAGTTTTTTTCCCATCCTGTCCCGGCATCTAGACCCTGTGCCTTAGTAGCATCTATGAGGACTTGAAGATTTACCAGACAGAGTTCCAGGCCATAGACGCAGAGCTTCAGCGTCAGAATCAGATCACTCTGGACAATGACATGTTGGCAGCCATTGATGAGCTGATGCAGGTGAGGCTTCCTCCTATTACATATAATAAAATCAGCCCTTCTTGGATTGGGAGAGACCTGAAGTGGCCCCGCCTCCACTTCCCAAGTGCCCATGAAAGGCCTTGTAAGGTTACATCTGCTAGGACAGCCTTGAGAAAGCCCTTTACATAAGTGGCAAATGTAAGCAGCCTTCTATTTGTTGACCTCATGATATACACCATTCGCCAGGCTCTTTTCAAAAGCCTTTTTCTCATACCATCCCCACAGCAAGCAAATAAGGTCTGTACAAAGGAAGAAACTGAAGCTTAGGAGAGTGATGATTCTTATCCAAGATCAGACAGCCTGTAAAAGGCTGAACTAGGGCCTCCTAAAAAAGGTTTTTTGTTTTTTTTTTTTATCTTAAATACTTTCTTCTCTTAAGGGTCTAAGATTAGGACTGGAGAGACAGTCCAGTGATTAAAAGCAGTTGCTATGGCAACCATGAGGATTTGAGTTTGGACTGGAGTACCCATGCAACAAACAGGATGTGGTCTTGAATTGGCCTATAACCTGAGAAAGTGGAGACAGGAGGATCACTGAGGCTTTCTTGCTGCAGCTTAGCCATGAAACCTCCAGGTTCAGGGAGAGACCCTGCCTCAAAGGAATAAGATGGAGAGTAACACAAGACTTCTTTATCTGGCTCCTGCATGTTGTAGGCACAGGTATATGCATGTGTATGTGTGTATAACACACACAAACATTCACACATCCCTTTTTAAAAATGCAGGATGAGTACTCTAGGGCTGCACACATATTCAGGTATTACTAGGGAAAACAAGTGGGGCTGGTGTCTAGTTAAAATCTATTTTGAACCAAAATGTGAGCAAAATGAAAAGTGATCTGTCATGTAGAGAAATCCATGGTGTTAGGCATCTGTGGGACCTTGCTATATGATGGCAACACAAAACACAAAACAGCGATACACAGGCAAGAGAGATGAGTGTCTTGATAACTAGGACAAGGGATGAAATATGTTCAGAAGTCACTGTCTGAGAAGCATTTTCATTTCATATACACTGTCTTGGTTAGGGCCTCTATTTCTTTGATGAAACATCATGACCAAAAGGAAGTTGGGGAGGAGAGAGTTTATTTCATCTTATAGCTTGTAGCTCATAGCTTCCTCCAGGCAAGTGAAGGTGGGAGCTGATGCTGATGAACCCTGGTGACTTGCTTGGCTTGCCTTCTGTAGCACCCAGGACCACCAGCCCTGGGTGAGATGGTCCCTCCCACATCAATCATCAATAAGAGAATGACCACAAGCTTGCCCACAGGCCAAGCCGGTGGAGGTGTTTTCCTCAACGGATGTTTCCCTCTTCCAAAATGACTGTAGCTTGAGTCACATTAACATAGAACTAGCCAGGCTACTTATTTGAAAGACAGTGAAGTTTATAGATGTGCCAAACAACCTACCATACAGATATTTGTAACTGATATTGCATGTGCAAGCCCAGAAGTCAGGTGATTTGGGCAGTAGAAAGAGGTCTACCAGGAACCAGACAGCTATGCTGACAGAGTTAACTCCTGTTTGCCTGTTTGTAAAATATGATGACTTTAAATACCCTACCTCTCTCTTGGGATTTTGTGAGGAGCAAGCTAGACTATTAAAAACCATGTAAAATTAAGTTCTTATTCTATGTTATCAAATCAAAAGGAATGAGTGAGAAGCATGCTTGGGTTGTTTATCTAACACAAATGGTGTTTCTATCAGAAATAGGTCTGTTACTGATAGGGAGCTGTAATCCATAGACCACCCTGTCAGCTCCCTCTTCTAAAGGGTCTGGGCTTCTTAACAAAACCTGTTAAAATTAATTAGCTATTGCTGCAGATGCCATCTCATAGACTCATAGTTTCTGAGAGACAAGCCCCAATGATGATTTTTCTGGGCAGTTCAGAGCTCACTAAAGACATAGGTGTGTGCTTGCAAAAGAGTTTTTCTCCCCCCTATTCTTGTAGGAATACCACCCAGGAGGAGATGTGAAGGGGGTCTAGATGTGAGGGGCTAGGTTGCAGGCTCTGGACTAGGCATTGACTTCACCCTTTTTTTTTTTCCAGACAAATGTTTTAATTTTGAAATTGTACATATGTCCTGCTTGCTGTTTCTTTTTAGGCTCTGAATCATAATGGACAGACTCTGCCTCAGAAACCTTTCCTGGCAGAAAGAGACCCTATCAAATTGGAAATGCATCTCTGCATTCAACTCCATGCTTTCAGCATCCGTGTCACGACCATCAACAAAGTGATGAGCTATCTGAACTCCTACTGAAAGGCCCCAGTCCCTCCCCTTTAGTGCCCTCTTTGCAAAACTATGAACCAGAGAAATTTTAATACGAGGTGGGCGAAGAGTCAGGAAACCTTAGCCTGGTTGACCTTAAGTTCCTGCAGGAACCGATGCTCCTATCACATCCCCAACCCCCCATCAACGGTGGCACAGCTACCTCAGCACGGCCCCTTCAGTCATGTCTCATATTTATTATGCATGTTGTTTGTAAGAAAATGTCCTCCCTGAAAGTGTCAGCAGAAGGGCAAGATATGATAAGCTAGTATTTTTGTACCAAAGTGTTTATGAAAACACTCAGTCACCACTTATTTAAAAATATTTATTGCTATATTTTCTATTCATGAAAGTATATGAGCTTATTTATATTTATTTATGTACTATTTATTATAATATTTCTTATAAATGAATTTGAAACATAACTTATGTGGTTTTAATAAAGTGATGCAAGCACTTGACAGATGTTCTTGGAGTATCTATTTATCTATCTGTCTATCTATCTCTGTCTGTCTGTGTGTCTGTCTGTCTATCACTGAGGGCAGGAACCTGGCAGCAAGAACTGATCCAGAGAGGTGGAGGACTGCTGCTTACCCTTTGCTCTCCCTGGCTTACTCAGTCTGCTTTCTCATACAACAGTAGCCAGGACCACCACGCTACTATTGGCACTGCCCACAGTGTGCTGGGCCATCCCACGCCAATCATTCATCAAGAAAATGTCATCACAATTTACCCCCAGGGCAGTCTGTTGAACACATTTTTTTTTTTCCAATTTTGGTTCTGTCTTCCTAGATGCCACCAGTTAGGGTCCAGCTGACGTTAAAAAAAAAAAAAAAAAAAAAGTACAACAATTCTGATAAAATTTGAACAAACCAGCCTTGCAAAGATGGCCACAGTGGGGCTGTGGAGATGGCTCAGTGGCTTCTTTCACAATGTGAGGACCTGAGTTCACATCCCCAGCCCCCCAACCTGTAATCTCAGTGTTCATAAGGCAGACGTGGGAATACTGGAGCAAGCTGGCTGGGCTGACGAGCCAAACTGATGAGCTCTGGGTACATCCCTGCACCGTGCCTGCACACACATATGAACACATCACACAAACACATACCACAGAGATATACGTGAAAAAAAAAATAGCCAGAGTATTGTGACTCGTTTCCCCGTCCCCTTCATCTTGTTTTTCTCAGGGAGACGAGGCAGGACTCAACACTCAAGTGGCTGTGCGAGTTACGATGTTTAAGAATTACTTTATTATTTTTGTTCAATATTTGAGTCTCAGAGTAAAACACACAAAAATGTTCTCCCTGACAACCACAGGCCCTGACCTGCTGTGCATTAAACAAATACATTATCATACTCTTCAACTTGGGAGAAAAACTGTACTACCAGGCTCTCTAAATTATTCTAATTCTCGTGACCCTTTGGGCTCTCAGAGGGAAGTCCTTTTTAAAATTACAAACAGAAAAACTCTCTACTTGCTTAAATTATGCAGAATGCTCTCCTGAACCCCATGTATAATTGCCTTCCTTTGGTTGAAGAAGTGTCTTTCCTTCTGGTCTTAGAATTAATCTTTGTAGTTCTTTAAGCTGTGTGAATTTAGAGAGGCCCACAACAGAATAGCACAACCTTTGGCTCTGGGGTGGCTGTGTCTCTTCCTAATAGGAAAAGGCTCTCAGACCTTTCTTTACAGAGGCTCCTTTTCCAAGTTGCTTCTTCCCACCCAATGGGCTCCCCACTCATCTCCAGGGATCCCGAGGGAAATACCTGTGGCCTCTCCTCCGTGACAAACTCACTGTCCAGATTCCTACTCTCTGCCCATCAGATAAACATCACTGGAGGCCAGATTCAACAAATAGCTGGGGAACTGCAGGCCGGGGCTCCTCCCAGGAAGGGACTGTTCTCCAGGGGGCTTTTTTCTCAGAGCAGCACGGTCACAGTCCATGCTTTGGCTGGGAAGAATCTCATGGGCTGTGCAGCAGCTGGTCACTCCTTCCTGAGAATGACACCGGCTGTTTGACTCCTCTCTGAGTCAAGCCAAGCAAGGGGAAGGTCTCCTTCACTGGTTTGTATCTGCACAGAGGAACACACTAGTTGCATTTGTCCTAGGCATTGCCAGGAGGTGTGCTTTAAATAAAGACTGGAAGCGAACTGGAGTTTTTGTGATTGAATGTTTACCAACAAGTTGGTTGACATGTACCTGGTGAAAAAGAACACTTCGGTTGTATCTATGTGTCCTTAAGTTTGATATTAAAATAGCAATATAGGGGCCAAGTAGGTGGTGCATGCCTATAATCTGAATATTGGGGTCACTAAGGCAGAAGGATTGTGAGTTAGAGGACATAGAATGGGCTATTTAATGAGAGTGTACCTCGCTAATAAAATAAAATAAAAAGATAATATAATAACTTTAAAAAAATCAAATTGGAGTGTGAAACTGAGGGGGTAGCTCTGTGTGCCACGGGTGAAAGCTCAGGTTTGATCCCAGTGCCAAAGCGGGAGGAAGACTGTAAACCAGGGTGTTGATGGAGCATCAGGTAACGCAGTTGTAGAACCCTTTTAGTAGGAAAATTAGCAGCTAATGCTTGGTGTGCCTGCCAGATAGCAGGCAGTTTTGAGGTGCTTAAGATGGTATGTGTGGAGCCTCCACTAACCATCACTATAGAGAAGACGCCTGAGCCTGGAAGCCGTATGAGTTCTCATGGTGAGTAGGTGACAGATGCACATCCTTACCACAGACCTGAGAACATGCCTCCAAAGCACCTCTCTCCCCATAGTAAAGTCACCAGAAGGCCAGGGAACATCCCTTCCCACAGTGGCTGGGGCTTCCGTCCTGCTCCACCTCCCCAGGGAATGTCAAGTATAGAAAATGTCACATTGCTTAGATAGCTGAGCCTCCAGCTCCTGGCACTCAACAAGAGGAGCCAGAAAAGAAAGCTCTGAGGGCTTCCCCACGTTTCTCGGTTCTTTTTCTAAACAAAGCATAATCAACAAAGTATTTGTTCTCCATAATTATTTTCAACTACCAAAGGAAAAGGTAAAGCATTTGTGTATGTGTTGCTTGCTTCAAAACAACTATACATGTCATAACATACCAGGTTCATAAGTAGGCCTCTTAAGTCAAAAATAATTTAAATATCTGGTTTGGGGTTAAGCAGTTACCAGACTTGAAAAATAATTTCTTGCTAGCAGAGCATACCACACTGGGAAATGTAGTTTCCTTCCTGTTAGGCTGTGGAAGTCTTAGAAACAGCCCCTGGGCTGGGCTGAAGCTCAGCTGGCGAAGTGTTTCTCTAGCGTTGCTGAGGCTGGGTTAACTGAATCGATTCCCAGTAGTCTGAGACCTTTCAGGGAATTGGCTCCATCGCTTCTGCACCCCTATATGGGGAGGGGGAACCATGGCTGGGAGCAGAGGTAGAGCAAAATGGGTTTCCTCACAGTGGAGCAGAAGCAGAGAGCGCCGGAGGATGTTTCCCAAGTAACCTTCAGGCCAAGGTCAGAGACCTCTGTCCTCCAACTGTCCTCCTCAGCTTTCCACCGCTCCTGGAATGCCACCAGCAGGCACCTAAGCCGGAACGTGTGGCCTGATGACACACCAGATCCAAACCATAACACGAAGCAGTCATTGCACATTCTTTTCTGCTCCTGAAGCAGCTCGGGGGTCCCAAAGGACTCCCAGCAACAACCTCCTCCCCACCCCCAAACCCCTCCCTTCTCAATGACCTCCTACAACGGCAGCTCCCCTTTTGACTGGTTTTCCAGTGCACGCTCCAGGTAAGTTTTATTTTCTATCATGATTTGAGTGTAAAATGAGCCCACAGAAAAGCTCAGATGTTTGAACGCTTGGGCCCCACCTACTGACACCATTTTTGAAAGGCTGTGAAATTTTACAAGCGGGTGTCTGGATGGTAGAAACAGATCGCTGGGTGCGGGCTTTGAAGAGTATAGCTCAGCCGGCTGCCAGCGTGAGCCCTCTCCATCCTGACTGCAGCCGTGATGAATGGCCTCACACGCCACGGCCGCAGCCTTTCCCAGCCATGTGGACTGTAGCCCCTCCAACTATGAGCCAAAGCAAAACCCTCCTCTCTCAAGTTGTTCGGGTCAGGTATTTCTGTCCCAGAGACCAGAAAAGGAAGTAACACTCTCACTCAAATAGGATTTGAAACTAAAGCAACACTTAAATAATAAAAATAAAAAAACCTCGCTGAATTCATTGAAGCCACCTGTGTACTTAATTCTCTAAATAACAGAACCTTTAGCTTTTCACCTTTTATTTTATAGCTTGAAAAGTTTTATAGCTTGCCCAAGAAGAAACTGCTACTATAAATGCAAGGAGCATCCTCTCACCTGAAAATCGAATTTGTTGCAAATGCATGTGGCCCTCCTGAGACAGGCACCAACAGTGAATGGGTTCCTGCCAGATGAAGGTGGAGGACTGGCTCAAGGGACTCTAACTGAGGGATGTCCACCAACACAGAGCAAAAATGGAGTCCGTCACTCTGTCTGCGGACTCCAGGGCACAGCTGGAGGTCTCGGCTGACCTGCAGCCAGAATTCAACCAGGGCCTCCCACCGGCATCAGGAGCTGGAAAGCCATTGTCAGAATTCCTCAGACCAGCAGTGTGTCAGGGAGGCCACGGTTTGCCTGGAAACCCCATGGCAGCATTGCATCCCCGGTCCCCTAGGCTGGGCTAAGCTCTTCAGCAGTCACCAACTTCTCTACCCCAAGAACTCTGGACAAACGTCCAGCCCCACCTGCTAGAAACCACCAATCTCATGGGGACACAACCAGCAAACAGGGGTCCTTAGGGAACGGCGTGAAATATGCTTCCACAATGGGAATTCATTGGAGGAAACTTCCTATAAATCCAACAGGTGCCAGTACAGCCCAGTGAGCCCAGGATACAGAACAGTCCCCTCCCCTTCCTCATCTGCTCAGGAATGAAGAGGAAACTATTTGGTTTTAAATACAAACACCCTGGAGATGAAGAGGCTTTACTCTGCAAGTGAAGAAACAAGGGGAACATACAGTTATCTCAAACCAGTGGGAATCGCTGCGTGAGCTACTTTACCTGGACTACATCCATGGAGCCTCCCCATTCAAGCATGGGAGAGCTGAGTTCAGAGCCATCTGGTGCCCACAGAACCAAGATGACAACAGTCTCAGAAGAGGATGCTATAAAAAGTGACTTGTATAGACAGACGCTCTCTGGTTAAGAGTCCATACTGCTCTCTCAGAGGCCCCAATTTGGTTTCCAGCACCCACATAAGATGGCTCACATTTA